GTTATAATCGGACGGGTGTGCCCGCTTCTTGTGCTGCCGTAGGCCTGCATAAGTTCTATAACTCTGGGAACACACGTCGCAAGAGTATGTCCCGTCGCTATTAGGTGGGAGCTGATTGCAACGCCGGATGTGCTGTTTCTGCTGCGCTATGGGCCTCGAGGATTAATTAACATTACACGAAGGACACAAAACACATATTCAAGATCCAATTGTATATCTACAGGATTTCCAAGGGACATCATCGACTCGTCAACAGAAGAGCAATCGATCATCCGAGGCTTCTTTATAGTTTTAGGAGCAACATTGGAGTGGAGCAAAGCTCTGGAGCAACCAAGGGCTGCTAACCCTGGGCGCTCCAGACGTAATGTCAGTTTGGCCGCCTCCTTGGTTCGGATCAGATACATTGTTAGATCCTTACCTTAGCACCACGTAACCTTGCCAGGGGTCGAACGTGAAGGTCGGCCTTGGGAAGGGTTTCCAGACAACACAACGGCAAAATGCTCATACACCGCTGTGCCCTGACCCCAGCTTCCGCATTTGGTGCTAACACTACCTCTCGGATACTAGATCGAGTCGTAACTCGATCCGACACCTCAAACGAGGAGAGTCAAATACCAAATCCATATCCGAATCACATACCAGGGACAAGCCAAATCGTCACCATCGCCGCACGCCGTTTAGCCATGGCTGCCGATTCGAGAAACGGCAGCCATGTTTCCAGCGGGACCTCGAGGAGGTAGGTCGTGCGACTTGGACGGGAGAGGCTAAGGACCAGAGGCCAGTATTGCGCTTCACCGTCTCAGTAACTACAACTCCTTAAACAGATGTTAATGTTAAGAGAGTCATAGTTACTCCCACCGTTTACCCGCACTCTTTTGAATTTCTTCACGTTGACATTCAGAGCACTGGGCAGAAATCACATTGTGTCAACACCCGTGGGGGCCATCGCAATGCTTTGTTTTAATTAGACAGTCGGATTCCCCTAGTCCATGCCAGTTCTGAGCTAAGCGTTGAATGGCGGTCGAAGAGGACGACCGCCGACGGCAGGCCACCAACGGAAGCCTCGCAGCAAGGAAGATCCGCGGGAGGCCTAGGCACGGGACCAAGCTCGGATCCCCATGCGGAGACACCACAGGTTCACCTCGCCCAGGCCTGGCACGTCAGCCAGACCCACTTCCCGACCAAGCTCGACACGCCCCGCTCCTCAGAGCCAATCCTTATCCCGAAGTGACGGATCCAATTTGCCGACTTCCCTTACCTACATTAATCTATCGACTAGAAACTCTTAACCTTAGAGACTTGCTGCGGATATGGGTACGAACCGGTGCGTACCCATATCCTATATTTATACTGTTTTTGTCTCTACGGTCGATCCAATAAGTGATCAGGCCGATTGCAATTGAATTGTGCGACGATGCGGAAAATCTGACAATTAAAGTTAGACGATTCTCTCTTTTTCGAACCCATACTTCTCATACGCATACCTCTCACACGCACACTACAGATGTATTACGAGAAGATGGTAAATTCAATACATAGCTTGTTACGTGTGTACATACATGTAAGTTGAAATAGTCGCGCATCCGTCCATGGATGATTTTTTTTCTCTCTAGGTTCTCGATATTTTTCCATCATTTTCGAAAGCTTATTTTGCAGAAGGAACTTCAATGAATATACCAATATCTTTTTCAAGCAAATCTATAAGTTAAAACAATGTCAAAATTGGAATCAAAATTTTAATATTGAATATGTTGTTTGTATTGACGGTTTATATTATTATATATTGAATATATTGTTTATAAGGCTATTGTTTATATTAAGAATAATAAACAATTTCGTTACATATTTAGAAATAGCACTCTTCCGCCTTTAAAAGGATCTCAAGAGCAAGTTAGGTTTAGTATTATTTTATTGTTGATTCTCGGTGTTATTACAGGCACGCGCCTTCAGCTCGCACTTTCTTCTCTCACATACCCACACTGCGCACGCCAGAAGATGCACTCATCTAGTGCGCCGGACTCTCGCACTCGCTCGCCTGACTGTACGGCGTTGTGCCGATCTCGCCGTTTCCGTCTTACACCCCCCCTATCGGTGCAACGCTGCTATCACATTCATTCTTGCACGCTATCGCTTAATTCCTATTAAATCCACACAGTCTTCATGCTTTGGTTTATTCAACGCTTTGGTTAAGACGACCGCAGCCATTAATTCTGTTTTTAAATATTCTATCGTGACTTCTCCTTTTTCACATGCTTCCCGCGAAAAATGATATCTTATATCTACATGCTTACTTCTATTGTGATATACACTGTTTTTCGTTAATTCTATCGCGCTTTAGTTATCACAGTACACTTTAGAGGGTTCTTTGCATGCGCTACTCATTTTCATGTGACCAAGTAAACTTCTTAGATATATTAACTCTTTTACAATTTCCGACAACGCCATATATTCGGCCTCCGTTGTCGACAAAGCTACAGATTTCTGTTTTTTCGACTGCTAATTGACAGGCCCGTTCGCTATTATTATTACGTTTCCGGAGCACGATCTCCGATCGTCTAAATCGCCTGCCCAGTCCGAATCTGTATACCCGTACTACTCACTCCAGTCTTTTCGTATTCGATTTTATAGCTACTGGTTCCTTTTAAATACCTCAATACCCTTTTCGCCGATTTCCAATGCTTTATACCGGGATTCGCACAAAATCTACTTAACATATGCGCGGTATAAGCTATATCCGGGCGTGTACTATTGGCTAAGTAATTAAACCACCCACTAATTCCCTGTACGGTTTGTCTTTCATTTCGCGTTTCTCTACTTCTGTCTTTGGCTCCATATCTTTGGTCAATTTTTCACCTGTCTCGAGGGGTGTACTTACTGGGTTTGCATTTTCCATACCGAATTTTACTATTATATTTTTAATATATTGTTCCTGCATTAGAGTTATTTTTCCTACCGGACCTTCCCTTTCTACATGAATGCTGAGAATTTGTTTGACCGGTCCGAGGTCTTTCATTTTAGGTTTACTCAATTCTCTTTTTACACTAACTAACCTATTCTTGTCCGCGTACGCTATTAGTAAGTCGTCTACAGGTATTACTATTATAGTTAATATATCACTGGACACACACAAATACACACATGGGTCATTCTCTGTATTTATAAATCCGATGGATATCAGGAACTCATTCAGTCTCTTATACCAGGCTCTTCCCGATTATTTAAGCCCGTAAATTCCCTTTTTGAGTCGACTCGCTTCATTCACTTCACTCACTTCTTGCTCATTGCACATATATGGCTGCTCCATATACACCACTTCTTCCAAATCACTTTGGATGTATGCTGTCACGACGTCCATCTGATGTAAATGCATCTCCTTTTCAGCTGCCAGTGCAAATAGAGTTCGAATTACTTCATACCTGGCCACTGGAGCAAATACCTCTGTGTAGTCCAGGCCTGATCTCTGTTCGTGTCCTCTTGCTACCAGTCTTGCCTTGCACTTGTTGATTGTTCCATCCTCGTTTCTTCTAATCTTGTAAACCCATTTATTTGTGAGTACTTTCTTTTTTTGGGCCCTTTTACCAGTACCCATGTATTGTTCTCATGCAGTGCTCCGATTTCTTCCTGCATGGCAGTGAGTCACAAATGCTTGTCACTTCTAGTCATTATTTCTTCGATTGTGTGTGGTTCTATCACATCTGTTAAATTGGCCTCATGATATATTTTTCGTGGCCTCCCTGGCTTGCCTGATCTCAGTAATCTTGGCCTTCCTAGACCTCTTTTTGGCATATCCTTATTTTCCTCTGTTGACTCTATGTGTTATTCTGTTGCATCCTCATATACATCTCCATCTTCTTGGCTTTCTTCTGGGTTGTATGCCTGTTCATTTGGTGATAAACCTTCTTCATTAAGTTCCTCTTGATTAAGTGGAAATAGTTGTACATTCTCATGTTCAATTGATATGTTTTGGCTCTTTTCCAGAAAACGACGTCACAGTTCTTAATTACAATTTTTGTGCCTGGACGCTATAGTCTATAGGCTTTCAATTCCACAGAATATCCTACCATTATGCACTTTTGCCCTCTTGCTTCGAATTTTTCCCCTCTTTTATTTTTAATTAAGGTTACTGCTTCACTGCCAAAAATACGCAGAACACCAATGTATGGTTTTCTCCCTGTCCAAGCTTCAAAAGGTGTTATGTCGTCCAAGGCTTTCGTTGGGCACCTATTCGTTATGAAAACAGCAGTATTTATTGCTTCTGCCCACAAACTTTGAGGTAGTCCAGAATCTACGATTAAGCATCTTGCCATTTCCACCAATGTCCTGTTAGCTCTTTCTGCTACTCCATTTTGCTGCGGAGTGTACTCCACTGTTAACTCATGCTTTATACCTACTGATCTTAAAAAGTTTGTAAATTCCCCTGACATGTATTCTTTTCCATTATCAGTTCTTAATGTCTTTATACGATGACCAGTTTGAAGTTCTACTTTATTCTTATAGTCTTTAACCCCTTGGCCTACCCGCTATCTCCCGATTGCTCGGGCCATAGTAAGCAAGAAGGTCGGTTGCGCGTCGAGCCATTGAGCTGTTTATCCGTATGCTATTTCGGCGCAACGAAAGGAATTGTGAAATAATAAACAACGTTTGGGCACAACTAATAATTTTAAGATGTCTGGGAAGTAATTATGATCGATTCATCAGTGAACAAAAATGATTTATTATTTGAAAGTGGATAATGTATTTGTAACAATTTGTAAATTAGTACTTAGTTTAAATTAATTATGTTTTGAGAAAACTCGTAGAAAATTAGTAATCTTCAACTGTGTGATATTTTTCGAAACAATGAGGTACATGTAGCGCAACTCGACAGTTTTTACATTCCCACGTCGTTTCACACCGTTTCTCATTTTTTGTACATACATTGCAAGCTCTTGTTGGATTTTTTTTCAATGGCGTGGGATCAATATGTTTCGGAAAGTGACCCCAATGTTGCGCGTGTAGTCTCATTGGTATATCTCCGTTCGCGATAATGGTCCTCGTCTTTTATAATCTTGTGACGGCACGTTTTGTAATAATGCTTCGGCTGTTTGAAGTCTGTACTCGGTGTAATTCCGTTTCTTTTCCATATTGTTTTTGTTGTACAGAATATATGAATTAAAAAGTGCCATATCAAATATGTGAGAAAAGATTTTTCGGTATCCTTTCAAGTATTTCCTCATAACAGGGAAACCCGCTAATATCTGATCTTTGCGATCAATACCAATCATTCCCCTGTTGTAATCAACAATACATTTTGGCTTGAAAGTAGGGGTTAGTTGACTTCCGTTTTGTTCAGTCATTTCTACACTTTCGTGTTTTGTAGAAAGAATATGGACGTCTTGTTTATCCTTCCACTTCAACGCTAATATGCCATTGCAGCTTCTTATTCTGCATTCCCCTTTTTTTAATTTTGCTTTAACAAAATCTCCCGGCATGTTTTTTCTATTAAAACGTACTGTCCCAACATTTGTTCCATTTTCAACTAAAGTTAAAAACAGTTTCGGCGAAGAATACCAATTATCTATATACAAAGTACGTCCTTTATTTAGTATTGACTTTGATAACTCCATCACAACAGTTTCAGATGCACTGTAATCAAGATCTGTTTTATCTTTTCTTGAATATATTTTAAAATTATAGCAATAGCCCGATGCTGACTCGCACAGTTTATAAAATTTTATCCCAAATCTCGCCCTCTTCGAGGGATTAAATTGTCTATAAGACATGCGTCCCTTAAATTTCATTAACGATTCATCGATCGCGATGTTCTCTTCCATTACATATACTTCTTTGAATTTTTTATTAAAACAGTTTATCACAGGTGTGACTTCACGTAATTTATCCATCTTGTCAGTCATATCGTTATTTGCAAAATGGAAAAACCTAGTGATTTGCAAAAATCTTTTCAGTGGCATAGTTTTCCTGAATATCGGTGTTTCTATAATGGCTCTTTTAGACCAATTCATCTGAATTTTTGGTTTTTTTACTTGAACCATTATTATGCATAATGCAAAGTATATTTTAATTTCATTACTATTTACAGGAATCCAAGTCTCATCAATTTTCTTTTTTTTATTTTCATCGATTATTGTTTGTTCTGCGTACCGATTCGTTTCCGTGACAATATTATCCCAAAACACATTGTCAAACATTATATACAAAAAGTCTAACTCTCTTTTACTTCTACCTAATTGATCTAAAATTGCTACTCCGATGCCAGGCGTCTGCATATACTCCCAGATTTTTGGCTTGTTACTTTCTTCTTTCCAAATCCATTGCTTCGATAATTGATGATTGATACTGTCTTCATCATCGGTGTCATCTTCAATGATTAATTTTCTTGGACATTTTCGTACAGGAAGCACAATATCGCTACCATCACTATCATTATCAGAAGGATCTACCGAATCACTATCCGCAATAATAACACACTTCTCACTACTATCGTCAATATTAGATTTTCTTTTTACTGACATGATAGGTATAGGGTTGTTTAATTCTTTTAGGTAATTACAACCGAAACGTGTGAACGCAACGAAGGATTACCTGTAACTAATGTAGGGGATTTTTGTGTGGAGGGATAGTAAACTCGAACGGACTTTTGACTATAATATATTTATTAATAGTTTATATCGCTACGCTAGGGATGTCGCTCAATCAATCGCTGGATTCACACTGCCTTTCGCTCCCTCGCATTCGCCCTAATGTCGTCTTGCATACATGCACACTTTTCAATAGAAGGAAACACACACGCACTCACGCACTCCTCGCCTGATTACTAAAACTAAACATTCGTTCAATATCTTTCGCGCTATCCCAAACACTCGACCTGGCACGCCGGTCCTTACCGCTCACGCCATAGACCCTAACGCATTCATACAAACAACGCACTCACGCTCGGTCATCCCTACACTAAAGTAAGAGAATATCGAGAAAAGTTGAACCACGAGTCTGACTCGTTTTGTTTTCGTTTGTCCCGAATGACGTACCACGAGCCAGGCTCGTCTTGTTTACGTTTGGTCCGAACGAAGTACCACGAGTCAGGCTCGTGCTTATTGTTTATGGCCCAAATTCCTTACCACGAGTCTCGCTCGTGGTTGTAGGGCTTGCAATGCATCTGCCTTGCTCCTTAACATTACTATTTCACCGTACCGTGTCTTGTCATCAATAAATGTGATGAAGTATCTTGCCCCACCAACCGAAGGTGTGCTGATAGGGCCACACAAGTCTGAATGCACCAGTCCCAGGATGTCGTCTGCTCTCCTAGTCGATGGGGGATGAGCTGTCTGGTGTATTTTCCCTCTAGCGCAGGTTTCACACTCCAGGGTTGTATCTGTTACCTTGCCCTCATACCTAGAACCATGTCTTTTAACCGTAATTTCTTTAAGTCATTCAAGTTCAAGTGTCCAAACCTTGTGTACCACTTCATTGTATCACCAACTTCTCTGTTTTCAGCCATCTGTGCCATCTTACTCTCTTGCTCCATTATTTTATAGAGTTTACCTTCACGCTTTGCGATCAACACTACCGAACCATTTTGGCGAAGCACTCTTGCAGTATTTTTCTCAAACGTTACAGTGTAATCACTTTCCGTTATTTTCGCGACGGACATTAAATTGTTCCGAAATTCTGGCACATAGATGGTGTCTCTTAAATTTATATTGTTTATGCGGCCCCCCTACCCACTCACACACATTTTTACGTTGCCTATGCCCTTGCACTCGACCGAGTGATCCGCAGCGGTATACACTTTACTGGTGCTTTGTTCGTCTAATCGGTCAAATTTTTCGCGCACATTGCAGATGTGTCTCGTCGCACCACTGCTCTAACGTTTCCTGCGTTGCAGAGAGTACCACTGCTGTCATCGCATCTTCGTCGTTGTACGTCGGTCGTCTCTTCGGTAGTTGGTTAGTGCGGCAATTTACCGCCATGTGACCCGCCTTGTTACATTTATAGTATTTCCCTCGGAACCAGGCTGATTTGGGGTTATGTTGCATAGGACATTTTCGTGTTCGGTTCTGCTCAACACGATGTGTGGGTTTTCCCTTTGTGAATAGAGCATTATTCTCGTTTGTGGCGTCTTCACTTTGTGTCTGGTCGTCTTGTCTTGCTTCTTGTTCAATTAATTTTACTTTCAAAGCGTCAAGTGAAGGGACTTCATCCCTCGATTCTATGGCCACACAGAAGCTTCCATATTGGGTCGGTAATGCATTGAGCAGCATTATCGACAGTAGCTCCTCTGGTATTTTTATACCTGCCTCTTCTAACTGCTCTGCCTTACTTTGAAAAACGTTTACGAATTCCGTCACCGTTTGTTTTTCATCCTTTTTGAGTTTATACAGCTGCTTGTACAAAACAGCTTTTCTTATTGGGCCTCTCGATTCATAAACCATCTCTAAACTTTTCCCGGCTTGTAAGGAAGTCCTTGCCTTCTTCACATGGTTTAATTGAGATTTAGTGACGCTCAGGATCAAAGCTAATGCTTTCTCATCCTTCTTATTCCATACGTCTGCGTTTGCATCGGTTTTCACTTCAATCTCACTTACGTATTGCCATAAATCGTTGTATACTAAGGTGCTCCTTATTTGTATCTTCCATGACTCATAGTTGCAGTCTGAAAGTTTTTCTATGGCGTGATTTCCCAATGCGGCCATTTTTTTTTCTTTGTTTCGCGACCGCGTGGCGTCGTCCTTATTAACCGAACTTTTCTCTATTTGTTTCACTACAAATTCACTCGCGCAGGGTATATTCGTGCCCTGGGCCTATAACCTGTTTGGTTTAGTATTATTTTATTGTTGATTCTCGGTGTTATTACAGGCATGCGCGTTTTTCACGAGGCCGCGTTTGCACGACGCTTCCCATGCACGCACTTCAGCTCGCACTTTCTTCTCTCACATACCCACACTGCGCACGCCAAAAGACGCACTCGTCTATTTGTCCCCCGCGCACGCGCTCGCCTGACTGTACGGCGTTATGCCGATCTCGCCGTTTCCGTCTTACACTATTTTATTCGACTTTTCAACGCGTTAATATTAGGTTGGTGCAAAAATAACTGCGGTTTTCGCCACTAAAAACTTTAGTTATCAGTCTGAAGTGAGTTGTTTTGTAACTACGTTCGTGTAGTATACCATTTCAATGCGTGAATTTGGCTCTATCGATATATGTCTGTGACTTGTTTCTGACTGTTCATTTGTAGCTGTATTTGGTCAGGAAAGTAAAGATGGAAAAAAGCAAATTTGAGCGATATTATTGTACGAGTATAAACTGGGACGTTATAATTTTTTCAAACCTGGCGAAACTGTCACAGCAGTGAAATACTGTCACGAAATCGACAAAATGCGTAAAAAGTTGAAAGATTTATGTCCAATCCTGGTCAATCTAAAGCGACCTATTCTATTGCATGACAACGCCCGACCACATGTCTCACAAATAACCGTTCAAAAACGCAATAAACTAGGATACGAAACTTTGCCTCATCCACCGTATTCGCCGGACCTTTCTCCGACGGATTATCATCTGTTCAAACATCTGGAAAATTTTCTGCGTGAGAAGAACTTGAAAACTCAAGCAGCAGCCGAAAACGCATTTGAAGATTTCATCGACTCTAGAACACCAGAATTCTATAATACCGGAGTAAAGAAACTTGTATTACGTTGGTAGAAATGTATAGAATCGAATGGTTCCTATTTTGCTTCAATAACTTCATTTTAACCCACGATATAACCCACGATATATTATTTTAAAGTTCACACTTCAAAACCGCAATTATTTTTGCACCAACCTCATATTTAATATCATCAACACAGGAGACTAAAATTTTACTCAAGTTAGTTTCTTAGTAAAGAAACTTGTATTACGTTGGCAGAAATGTATAGAATCGAATGGTTCCTATTTTGCTTCAATAACTTCATTTTAACCCACGATATATTATTTTAAAGTTCACACTTCAAAACCGCAATTATTTTTACACCAACCTCATATTTAATATCATCAACACAGGAGACTAAAATTTTACTCAAGTTAGTTTCTTATGCCTACTAATAAATGTGTTGAGTTTTAAAGAAATCGATTACTGTTAGGGGCTTGGGGTTGATCTTTCGATCGTTCAAGCTTTGCCGGTTTTTGCACGTGTGTGCCGACTAATGTTCTAAGGCTTCGAAGGACCAGTTTCTTGATTGAAACATTAAGTTTTTATTTTATATTCTATTTTCTACAACTAATTCAAGATATAAATTCTACTGCGAAGTGAGTGGTGTTTCACTTGCGAGTGGCCAAGTGTTTCTCCAGCGAGTTGGTTAATGTTTCTCCCGCGAGTTGCAAAGTGTTTCTGCCGGAGTCTCTGCGGTTTCTCTCGAAGAAGACTCCTCTTTTCTTAAAAACACCCTGATTGGTGATTTTTCCTTTTCTAAATCACCAATCAGTTTACTCCGGTGCATCGCAACCTCCCTCCATTTCGCCCTTAGCGCGTTATCTTAGGGTGGACTAAACAACGATCGGAGAAAGTTTTCGGTGGACGGATGCATGAGAATCCTGTGGAATCTCCGCTTTTCTAGGCTTTGTTAAAGTCAAGTGGCTCATCGACGTTGGCAAAAGTCTATTTTTCCGTTCGGAGACTCCAGGATTTATGGCAGGGTCTGGTCCTAGGGACTAAGTGTCGGAGGCAACGCAATAAACACTTGTGGTGTTTTGAGAAAGCGATATTTGCCTGCGACGGCGACCACTTGACTCGCTGCCATAAATTCGGCTACAGGATACGCCTTAACAATTACAGTGGCAGAAACTGTGTGATTTGACGTAAAATGGTTAGTGAATGTATGCTATGATCCTATGTTTTTATTGTACTACTTTAAGTTAACGTGCCGTGCATTAAAAAACAGGGTAACCTCATTTATATTCTCTAATTATAGACAATTTTTTTGATTAAAAAAGTGTTATTCTTTTGACCTATGAATCGCATTATTTAGAATTTATCCATTTTCTTCACTTGATTTCAGGTATTAAAAATATTTCCCGTTTCTCTCTTTAAAAAAAAAAGAATCGAGGCATTGAACTGTATAGTCCATCAGTTAGATCCCTTTTTACCAATGCTCAAAGTTTATCCTAGTCAAAACTTCGTGACTCGTTATTTCTTACAATTAGTTCATCTTAAAAATCTTCAACACTTATTTCTGTTTTCTCTAAGAATTTCTTCTAATAATTAAAACGTGTTCTTTTCTGGACCGAGTTAGAGTTTCGGCAAGAAAAGCTCGAACCTTTTTGGCCCCTGTCAACTATGATATAGTAGGTACAAAAAATTGAAATAAATTGAAATAAATTTCATCTGTAATAGTAAAATATAGAAATACAAGTGTCTGCTGTAATTTTTGAAAGACAATTAAAATATATTATTTTAATACACTAATATAATTAACGATAAAAGTGAAAAGTAGTTTAAACTGTAAGAATACGCCGCTACTATTTTAGAGCTCTACATATA